TAACCTTTAAAATATCTCCCATAAGCAATTTTGATGAATGATTTAAAGTGTTATTACCAAAAAGATGCAGAAGTTCTGATTACTTCGTTACCTTTAAACTGAGTTGTATTCTACTGAATCAATTAAGTAGAAATGTAGGTATTATTAACATTTTCATTTACAGAAAAGGCCATTTAGTTTGTTGAAAGTTAACGACACTAAGTAATGAAAAAATAAATAAATTTTTTTGAAATTTTCCCCATGTAAACTAATTATATGTGACGTTTCGACATCATTCTCCTTTGGTAAATCATAGTGAATTTTATGTCGTAATGTGATTGAGTTGCAATAAGAATATGAAGATAAAACCAAAGTTTTGTGAGCTTGGGTTCATTGAAATCGATGCAAAGAAGCAAAATTGCATATGGTTTATCCTATTGACTATGAAATAAAACAATTTTAACATTTAAACTTTTTTTTGGGGCATATACAGTTTGGTTCATTCGCGTTATTCATAAATCTTTTTGAGCGAGGAAATGTCATAGCGACATAGTTAAATTCTAGCGGAAGTAAAGCCACTGCGATTCAAATTGGAGGACTGCTTTCACCCTCTCACGTTTCCACGTTATTTTCATTTTCGTTTCTATCTTTATTTACACTAATTTTTAGTGTGATATATAATTAGGTATGCATTCAGTGTATGGATTTAATGGCTTTATTCGCATGATTTTGGCAAAAATTACTCATTTTAATTGATTAATACTAGTTAACTTTTGTCAATTTAAAACTAATAAGGCGTAATTTAGAAAGCATTTCGAGTACACTTTTTATTGGAATAAAATGTTTAGAATGTACTTATACAAATATATATATATATATAATACCTAAACAAAATAGCTCTAACTAGATTAAAACAAAATTTACCTCAAGACAGATTAGTTCTGAACAGTATTTTAAAATGATTTTACAATTACCCTAAATCTGTTAACCTATAGCGTAAGTTTTCTGAAATGCATAAGTGTTTTAAATTAAATTTCATGGTGGTTTGTTTTAAAACCAACCACGCACAACAAAATTGAATGAGATCGGTTATCATTTCTTGCTTAGTTTAAAATTGCTTCCTACATGAACCTCCTCTCCCCCTCGATAATTATTTCCTCTTCCGTTCTCCAAGTACTTTCACGAATCGTTTAAAATGTAATTTCCAATCCTTTCCCAAAAAACGTTAAATACTGTTTACTAAGCTGAAAATATAAGCAAACAATAAAGTGCTTTTGTAGGATATTACATTAAATATAAATCATATAGTCCCCTTCAAATACACTAGAAAACTCTGCCTTAATTCATCATTTATGCCAAATAATGCGCAAAAATGGCTTTATTTTATTTGATATTAGTAATCGTGCAGTTTCGTTAGTTACAACAAAAACTACGTTGAACTTCAATAGTACACTTCTGACTTTACTTGGAAACAAGCAATTGATCTGCACTTACTTTTTCCAATTTTTGCCAATCATGAAAGCAATTAGGTAGAGTAATGTTTTCAAATCTGCGAATATAATCTCGAGGAGTGTTCGACATTTCCAGATTTTATTCTCACACTCTACGCCAAGTTATAAAAGAAAGGGTAAAAAAACTTGATAGGCTTAACTAAATGAAGGAGTCAATTGTCCTCATCTGGATATGAATCTACCATGAGATTGAATTTTGGTAGCCTTAATGGCCAAATTCTTTCAGTTTCCACTGCATTCCACTATAGAATAATAACATTCCCCAACTACACTGAATTAAAGTATTGTAACACTCGTCCTGATAATAAAGAAAGACAATTTAATTCCCTCTGACTGCATAAATACTTTACAATGCACAGTTCATTTATCTATTTCGTTTTGTAACTATTGTACTTCAATCTCTTTTGAGTACCGAATATGCTAACTATGACGTAGCAGAATTTTACAGGCATCGCTTGTACAAATTTACACATCGAATTGATGGTATTCTAATTCGATCATGTCGATATGACATTCATATGTAAACTTTTATATGATCACGTACTTTCTCTCTAATATCATCTACTTCTGTGAATATTCACTATTTGTCACAATCTACTTGCTTCTTAGCATTTTATCTAGTGAATATTTATATCAAATGGCAGGCGTCTTGATGGTTATCATTAGCCCTTTAGTTGACTTCAGGCTTCACAGAGGGAAAGGAACATCAAATTGAAAAAAAAATCGAAAAGGGAACAGAAGAGTGTTTCAAAGATGTAAGAGACAAACACAAACGTAGAAAAAAGGTGAGGTGAGTACTGTGAAAATATTCGAATATGGCATAGAGTGAGGTGATGGTAGTTTGAAGTGAGAGGTTAACTGCCGGTTAATAGACTTTTTTGCCGTATGAGTACACGTTGCCCAGGGCGCACCATGTGGAGGTAAGTCTTTCGCACACCCCATTTAGTGAATATAAAAAGAACTTAGAGAAATGATATTTTTGCATGGACGAAAAGAGAGTCTACAAATTCAGTCACTAAACCACCTATCTTTATATGGCATATCAACTGGTGTGAGTGCTCTCTGGAAACCAGATAACTTATATCAAAAGAACTCTATCACATATCTCCCACACTGAATGAGCTCCTGCTATTTTGATGTAGACCGATGAGAAAAGTATCGAGCCAATGACATTTGAAGTGCCAAAGATGAAAACGACTTCTAGTTCTCAATACCTAATTGCTATGACGCTTAAAGTGATATATTATGATGAATTTTAATATCAAAGCTAGTGCTAATCTCTTCACGAACAAATTTGATAATTCAGGACTTAATAGAAACTGATACTATCCCTCTTACCTAGCCGATAGCAGCTAAGACCAGTGGTCCAAATAATATACCTTAAAATAGCAGTTTAATCAATAAGCTGTCTTATCTGTATTTGCAGACGTGAATATTAAATTAATTATGAGTGCGACATATACACATATCCTACTATTTGATGTCCATTGCATGATTACTAAAATAACTCCCTTTGAACTATTAGCAGTCTATCGAATAGTGAATAAGCTGATAAATTGAACAAAATTGAATTTAAACGGACTTCTTAATATGTTAATATCTAACCACCACAGCATCTGTCAAGCTCTTTTTGTTTTTTTCAAAATTTGCTGTCTATATTATTACATCCTTTTATCATTTATAAAAGGATTGTGGTTCAGATCATATTGTAACAGAGTTAATGCCATTGGACAACAATGAGGGAACGAAAAATTGAGATGACTGGTATGCACTCAGCAGTCAATGACACAATCAAATTCATTCCTCACTTTCTTCCTTCTGTCAGAACACGATGAAAATTATGTTATGTAGCACTTCATTCTCTCTTGCAATGACGGAATGGAGGGATATTGTCGCGCGGTGCTGGCCAAAAAACGCGCTATTATGCACTTACCAGAAAATTTCGTACTTCGTTCGAGAATTAATATCATCCTCCTTTGTTTATAAACCATTTAGGGTATCAATTGAGGCCTTCTGAAAATTGATTAATGAAGGGTTCCTAGAATTATATGGTACAGTTTCAAATGAACCAAATAGCATATTTAAATTCATTACAGTAGTGAGCGACTGTTAGAGTATTGCAACTGAAGCTTGTGATCATGAAACGCGCAGAATTTATACGAACAGTTCGATCTTGCAAAAATAATTATCAGATAATACTTGTTGCACCGTCTGTGGCATTAAAAATGAACAATAAGCACCTCTGACGGAGTGGAAATCGAATTGTAATGCGCATCAAAATGTGAGCTTAGGGACTGCCTTTTTCTCTATGTCCGAGAGAGTAAAAGACGAAAAATAATTAATTGAAAAATACATACAGCTATTGGTGTTTGGCGCAAAAGAAAAACAATTTATTTTCTATCTAAGAATTTTCAACCGAAAAAAAGTCACTTTTCTCTAAATTCCCTCTGAAATCATACTTATTTTCACTTGAAGGACCATCTATTGATTAAGTTATTACAAACTTGCTATTAATGCTCAATGCTGCTTTGGTGAGGTGATGGTAATGGAAAGCATTATTATGGGAGGAGGGGGGGGGGGGGGGGGGGGTTGGAAGAGCATGAATTCATCCCGTAACACCGTTTTTCTTTTTCTTAAAACGTTGCCTTATGGGGGTAAATCGTTAAGAATTATGAGCATTATTAAATGTCATTTGTTTCATGATTACATATACATTAAGATGATATCATTCCCTATTTGAAGTAGTCAATTTTATCTGAAAAGCAAAATCGATAATATGAATCGATAAACTGGAAAACTTGTAGAGAAGGCTGTGAATAGGAACTACCTGAGGAAGCAAAAGACAAATAATTAAAGTCAGTCATGTGAAATTAGAATATGAATCCATTAAGCACAGTGACAATAGAGGATTCTTTAATATTATCACTTAAAGCTAAAATGTAAAAACTATTCAAATATTTTGATATTGTACTCGTATAGTCCGCGTTGATTAGTGATGTTTATGAAAGGGTTGCCAATGGCTAAATTGGCCCTTTAAGCTTCAATTGACGCCACTGTGTGAATAAGACATTTGAAACTTGAGAAGTTGTAACGTGTCGTTCAGTTGAGCCTCAGACAAAAGGGCTTTTATATGTCAGTTCCAGATATTAGTTATTTGCATTCTCGTCGATCTATGTTCTCATAGCCAGTATGTATTCGTTTGAAAGTCACTGTCTTGACAATTTTACGCGTTTGCGCAGTGATGCTACGCTCGTTTTTTTTTAATTTGTATAGCCAATGTCACCTATAAGTCATGAATTGTAACTAGAATATATAGAGATTTTTAACAATCGTTGTATTTTCGATTCAAATATGCAGATGAAAAGCCACATGTGGCACTAAGACGCTTTCAAAAGGCTGCGGATCTTGTTCGTTACAATCAACAATTTTTAAATTTGTCTCGATCATCAACGGCGGATTGTTGTGGTAGTTTAGATCCCTCCAACAAGCATTTAGAAAACACGGAAAAAGATGCAGGCTATGTATTTCGACGTCTTCCTTCCTGGTATGCGAGGATGGCCTCCACTGATACGGAAGCCTCGAATGCATCCCCTATTGGCAAAAATCCACCTCACTCCGCCTCTCCGTCGTCTTCCGTCTTTGGTCGGCACAGTTTTCGTGTAAGCTCTTCGAATTCCTTACCATTCTCCTTGGTATTTGCTTTCATTGAGAGTTGCATTGGCAAAATATAGAGAGAATGGAAGTAATTATTTATTTTTGAGACAGTTGTATGCAACATGACCTTTTGGACTCATCAAGGGATTCAATGCACTAAATTACTTCTTTAAGCTTATTTTCTAAATTGGTTATGAGCTTATTTTTCTGCAAAGGTCGTTAATCCTCCACCCCTTTTGCATAATTTGTGCATCTTCATTAGTTGGCTCAATTTCCATTCTTATCTAATCCCAGTTGGGAATTATAGTCTTAAGTGATATCTATTTCTGTGTCAGACCATTATTAGCCCTATCAACATGAAAGTGTAGTGCTCAATTTGGGGTTGCTTTAAGTGTCCTAAAAATAGTCCCACTGCACTTAATGCTTCAGAACTGAGTGGCGGAAAGTTGAAAACTAGTTCCCATTTAATCCCCTATATCTCTTCAATTTCGTTGAGAACCTTCAAAATGATGAGAGCTAGCGTTGTACTTCAATGACTGCTAGCATTATACTAGCCAGAAATTATGAAAGATTGTGCCAGATTTCAGTATGTGCCTTGGAAAAGTGTTTATAAGTACAAGCGTCGGCAAACTGAACTTAATCTACCGGAACTGCTGTAGGGAAGGATTACAATGATAGGTTTTGGCCCTTGATTATCGATTACTAAGATAGTAGAGGTATAACCAAGAAGTCCTTTGTAACATTAGAATTTCTTTTATCGAAATCTTATGAACTGTTTCCTCTTGACAAATTAGTTGCACAATTGGCAAATCTCATAATTATTGCGAATATATTGAGACAACTATTTTTTCTTTATATATTCTCGTTTTTATAAATCTTTCCTAGAATGTAAAATAATTAAAGAATTCACAAACTGATATTTTAGCTTTAATTTTTTTTACTTTATCGTCAATTTGTAGTTTTTTTCCATCTTTGAAAACTTCCGACAGTTCCTTCTCCGCAATTTGGTCACACTGGAACCCATATATTTATGTAAAATACTGTTTTAACATTTCACAAGTAGTTGACATGTTGTTGACACCTTAAGCTACTATGAAGATTTAAGTGGGAAAATTGCTGTTTAAACGAATGTTGAAAGTTTATCTCAAAATAACAGGGGCGCCAGGGGGCTTTGAATGAGTATTATTTGAAAAGACCGTGATAAATGAATGTGATTGCATTCCGCTTCTTTTTCACCTTGTCAAGTAGGAGAGGGAGAGGTTAGAGTGACTCTCAAATCACTAGGACTTGCCATAAATGCCTGTCTTCCCTAAGTAATCGAAAAGGATACGTTGGAAGCTGTAAGCAACAGGTAAACAAAGGCAAATTTTGAAATCAAAATTTTTTATTCTACTATAATTTTGGAAATTTAGTGAATGTCTGTAAATCATTATTTTATAGTAAACTCTTCTCCGAATAATCTATACAATAAGGCCCAGCCATATGACGTAATTGCCCAAATATCCTGAAATTCTCTGAACGTTGCAAATTATTTTGTTGTTGAATGAAAACAAAACCGCTATAAGAAAGTAGAAATAAATTATTGCCTATGATGTTATTTCATTTTAAAATGTGAATGAGCTTGTGCTTAGGGAATTAATATGCTACAAGATGGCGTCTTCTCCTTCCGTAATCCCTACCGAATGCTAGTAGTCTGCTAATACTTCGGACATTAAAAGTAAACTAGATTTCAGTTTCGAATAATAAGCGGATTTACAAAATCATTTTCATTTTAATGGAAATTATATTGATTCAATCAATGGCTTTTGATGCCTCGATTAAAATACCTCTTCAAATTGACTTGAATGCATGCACTTTTCGTTTCTCCAGGAATTAGTTTTACTCTTTAGAATTTGAAATAACTTGATAATATCGTTATTTAATCAAAACTTCATAATTTCATTTTTTTTGCTTGAAAAAAATTTAGTTCGGTCCTTCTCTCGTGTTCAGTAATGTAAGTGAAGGTTTAACGCGGCAGGGTATCAATTTTTAAAAGAGCTAAATTTAGCTTTGAGTGAAAACTTTTCAGTTCAATTAAATTGTCAAAAATTAAATTAAAAAAATACACGAGAAGCGCGTCTGAATCAGTTGGTTATTTGTATACTTGAATTATTCTTAAAGCGTCGATATCTAGATGAAGCTTTAATAACAAATGGAAAAACGTATTTTCATTTACAATTTGTCTGCCAAAAGAAACGATCCCAAAGTACCTATCGGTTACTGATCTGAAAGGAGTAAGTTCTCCAAACACGGTATAGCAAGTAACGTAAACTTCTCCGGGGTAACCGATGGTCAGTTCGCTTTCATTGGCCATTTCAAACAAATCAATTTTTAATTAACGTTCTGAAAAAAAGTGATTTTTACATAATACCAGTATCTAAAAAGATGTTATTGCTAAACTGCTGTAGGGTCGCACCCTGAAGCAAAGAAGAGGGTGGGCAGAAGCCAGTTTTGAAGTTACTGCCAGACATTTTATTAATTTACTAATGTCACTTTTAGCTTTGAACAACTGTTAAGCCTACTGCCTTGAATGATAGGCGACTTCAAGACCACCTGCTAGAGTCATTCTAACCCGATAAAATGAAAATTTTAATAACAATTTAAATTCACAAGCTTTTGATACTGATTGGAACTACTTAAGATTTCTTTTTTTGGTAGTTTGATGATGATAATCAATCTCTTAGATTTGCTGTTAGTGGGAGAGAGAAATGAAAATTTCTTATTAATTAGATAGTTGGATTAAGATTTGTCTCAAGAAGGCTGCGGATTATTCATTAATACTAGCAAGAATTGGGAGCACAAAGTCTCCGTGGTGATCTCGCCCTAGCAAGTAGGCAGTTTTATCTTTGCAGTATGCACTACACGAAATCTGTAAGAAAATGGAGATAATTCAGCTGTCTCATCTGTTAAGGATGCAGAACGCATAGGCCAGTCTAGATAACGCCAAGAAAGAACTACAAGATAGGGAAAATTGCCATCGCTGGTCATTTCAGTCCAATTAGGTTGGTTCGAGTTACGACGAAACACAAATGCGTTAGGAATACACAATGTAACCTGCAATTTAACATAAATTAGAGCATATTTTGGTCTTAACGTTTTCATACCTTAGATGGGGTGAACAATTAAAGACAAAGTTCATATATTTTGTTTGAAAATTAAAAGTAGATACAGAATTGTATGAAAATAGATCTAAGTTGAATCAAACTCAAATTGTTTTTGTAGCATATTTAAAGCTCCATGTTTAAATAAGGCCGAATTTGAACAAGAATATGGTAAAGACTTGTTTGTTTTATTAGTAATTGAATTCACCTTTTATTAATATTAATAGTTATACAAATTGAGAAAATTCACAATATTTCAAAAACTAATTACTCTGAAGAGGACAACATTTTTATTTAAAATAGGATTGAGATAATTGTGTTAATGTTTCGTGAAATTAGCATAGAAATGAAAACTTATATTTACAGAATAGTTCACTTCGATTAGGGAATAACGGCAAATTTCAAATTCAGAGATTTAAATTGGTAATCATTATATGAAATTCGAATTTCCCATAAGTCTTCTTCATAGGGCAGTAGGAAAGTCCCCACAAAGTGTGACCTGGTTATTTCCAGGTCATTCCTTGGAAGAACTCAGTTTCTACTCCTCTTTTGGGTCAAAAAATTAACATTTGCGGTTTTTTATAGAATTTACTTTGATGGAAATTTAACTCACGAGAGCTAGACACCATCCACTATCATGTTAAAAGTATCTAGAGAGGCGTTCTTATACTGTTTCATAAACCTCTCAAAACTCGTTTAGAACATGCGAACCAAGTTTACTATTCATTTAAATTAAAATGGCTCGTCATTGCACCTGAAAACTCCTTTACGAGAATCAAAATATTCACATGACTTAAAATATTTTTAAAACCCCTATAGCAAAGTTTTTCCCCGATATGTTCTTTCAAAATTACTTCTTATAAGTGCAAACTATTCGTGCACATTAGTGAGGCGTTACCACCAGTTTGACAATCAATGCTAACTTTCCAGCGACGTGATTACAAATCGTGGGCAAATTAATTTAACCACCTCAATCAATTGATCGACAATTTATCTTCGGCATTAACTGTTTCTACAACTGTCAAAGCTTCTCACTTTTATGATAAAGAAGATATTTTCTTTTGATACGATTTTAAAAGAGAGAAGCCATTATAATTAATGGGAAATTTATTTCGAATAGAAACCTTGTTATTGTTGAAAAATAAGATCGTTTCACGTCTCGCAGTTTTGATAAAAAAATAATTCGATTTCAAGTGACAAAGGAGCTCTTACCTATGGGGGTCTATTCACAAATCCGTCCTTCATTATATTATTTTTTTCAAATGACAGGCTTTGTGATACTTATCATTAGCCCTTAAACTTTGACTTCAGCTTCCCCCAAGGGTGGGGGGTACATTTATAGCAGTTAGTTAATAGCAGTTCATCAGCCGTCTTCTTGCTTCCCAGTATCTCTGACTTTCCGTCGTTGTCTTTAGGGCTGGACACCGAATCAAGTGGAGTCATCCGAAATGTTTGCTTCCATAATTGTGAAAATGTCTACATCATAGGTTTGTAGGATTTTCTGTACTTGGATCTTTTTGTCCGGTAACATCCCTCCAGCATTCCACTGGAGGATCTGAAGACGTTGTGATTCGCCCTGACGGGGCCGATTTCCCTTATAGCCCTTTTTTCAAGCTAATCATAATAAATCGAAGTCAGATCAAATGCCGAGTGATAGACTTTAAAAAACGAATGCCGAGTGATAGAATTTTTGCCGTAAGAAAGTACGTTGCCCAGGGTGCACCACGTGGAGGTAAGTCTATCGTACGTTGTCCAGGGTGCACCACGTGGAGGTAAGTCTATCGCGCACCCCCTCATTATATATAACAAGTTGGCCTTTGCATACTGGAAAGTGAAGTAACGTTTTGAAGATGGTTAAATTTGAGCATTGAACACAAAGAGAGCATCATGTTCCCGATTCCCTGTTACGCAAAACGAAAATTTGTTCAAGCAAAAGCAGACAAAATTTAACTCACCCCGCAAAAAAAAACAAAATGCGACAAATTTTAGTAATTTTTTGGCTTGAGCCAAGGATTAGTGCATTTAGGATTTTACGACTCTTTTAATCCCCACTACCAACTCTTCCTCGACTTTGCTTTTGAAAAGTGAATACTCTTCCTGTTAAGACACCCCGACAGTGTTGACGATAACACTTCAGCTGTGCCAATGGTCGTACGGTTATCTCAAGAAAATTGCAAAGTGGTTGAGTTGACAGGGCGGAAAGAGATCACCGCCCAACAGCGCGTTATAAAGATCCGCATGGGCTATAGTCAAGACGAGACAATTGGGAGGCGCGGGGTAAGGTCGAGGGCTCAATTCGTTTAACTACTGGGCGGCTCGTGAAGTATCAGCCTCTTATTTGCGCCCAAGTGGATAAGCCCTTGCGTTAACACCTCCGCAATTACGTGCGCACCACCGTATGCGCAATCTTGCAGTCTCATGCGAACGTGAGCCTACGCGCTCTCATTGGCTGCATGTATGGGAAAAAATCGATAGGCACGCGTGAGCACCACGTATAAATGGGGTCGAAAGCGCGCAGGCTAGAGCAAAGCAAGAACGGGGCGACGTGAGGTGAGGTACGTATCTGCATTTAAGTGGAGAGGCAGTATTGGCGCAGCTCACACTCGTCTGAGGAGTAAAATTTATTACCAACTGTCCCTCTTTGATTGAAAAAAAATCATAGCAAATAAAAGGTGGAATTACGCAGCCCTGTCAGTGGGCAGTCACCCCACATCGGTGACTTTAAGTCGACAAAGGAAGTTGTACGAAATTGCTTACCGTTTGTTTGGTTGTTGTGCGTGCTGTTATTCCAGAGAGTTAGGCGGCCAGGCGCCAAGCCAACGGCGTTCTGGCCGCTGCTTGGAGGAGGTGGAGGAAAGGATTATAAATGAGCAACCTTTTATAATGGGATTACAGCAAATGAGGACCACTAGTGATCTCGAGGTTGCTCATATCATGGAGCAGAGACCTCAGCGCCATGTCTATCGGAATCCTCTACCTCCACCTCCACCTCCTTCTCAACCTCCTCCTTCTAATTTTCATCTGACTATTAGGAATCCTTACTTCATGGTAGATGGAATTCATACTGGCTGTTCTTGTCCGTATCTTCTCGATGAGACACAGTGGCATAGCCTTGCCCAATGCAAATGTCCGCATGAAGAGCTACATGATCATTATGTAAGTAAAAATATTGAAAATATTGTTGCAATGCTGCCAACTCGAGAAACAGACATCCTAAATGATTTGGTGGACAGTTCAACCGATTCTGATGATTCCGAGGAAATTCTGGAGGAATTAGTACCAAGCCATATCGTTACAATCCACCGAACAGCTAAAACTGCTGAACATTTCCAAAGGCGGAGGAAGTTATCCGATGAGGATGTTCCAATTAGCACACTCATTTCAAAGAGTGGTTGGTTAGGTGACTTCGATGAAAACCGGGGACCTCTTCAAGAAAGTTCCCATTCCACTTTAAGCAATGGCTCAAAAGTACTTCCCTATGAAAGGGAAAACCGATTTGAAAACTCTCGCATAATTACGAAATATCCACTTCCAACTGTAATACCAATGTGTAAAAATCAATCTGATGGTCATTCCGAGGTCCTCAGAAAATACCAATACGAAAGTGAAAACTCGCATACTAGATCAGGACGGATTACAGTTCCGAACTTCCATTTTAACTATTCCTCGCAGGATCATACACCGAATCCAGACCTAGAAACGAGATCACAGCCAAATCATAAAATTTCTTTCATCGACCCACTTGACTTCCAGAGTGAGGTCCGTCGATCTATACCTGATCTCAATTTAAACGGAAATGCCCATGGCCAGAAACAAGACGATTTGGAATTCTCTTCTTCATATGAGGCTAAAAGAGTTAACGAAGACGAAGGAGTTGAAACCCCACCGATGGTGCACAAGCCTTCTAAGTCCCCTCAGAAAAGCACGCCTAAAAACGAAAAACAACCGGATTCATTGCTTGAAATACCTCTAATGAACTCATCCATACATGCTAATGGAGGTGAAACAAAGCATTATAGTGTTAAAGATCAAAATTCGACGCCTTTCGAAATATCCAAAAACGGGGAATCTTTAAAAGAAAAGAGAGGTCCCGGTGAAACAACTGTAAATGATAAATATTTTGAACTTGACACTGAAGGTCCATCTACTAACTCGGAACGGAAAGCAGAAGTTTCCTTGGGCGCAACCATCCCACAACAGGATTCGAAAGGAAACTCCTCAGATAATGACGATATGGAGTGTTTAGGGAACTTGGGATTTTTGGCCGATTCGAGAGAGTCCAGTGTAACACTGGATGAAAATGATGTGGGTGGGGAAGAGGAACAGAGTAAAGACTCATCGGTACATCATGAGTCATTTGTTACCGATTCTTCCAACGATGAAACGACAACTGGTGATGAAGATGGTGAAATGACACCAGATGAAGCTTTCAATCTGGCTATAAACGCTGACACTTTGAGCAGAGAATTTATGGAATCAGGTGTTCGAGTTGATGATGGTGAATTTCCTATTCAAGCAACCTTTGAATCCTACAAACCATCTTCTGATTCTCCTGCACAGTCGTCCTCATCAGAAGTTATTGATGATATAACAGATCCGGAAACTGCACCACAGAAGACTCTACTTAAAGTGGGAGAAGCCTCGACTGAAGCGAATGGAAGACAAAGTCCACTTTTGCAAGTAGACCCTCATATGAGAGCTAGGTGGCGCTGGGCGCTGCTTAGTCAACATCGTAATCTTGTCTTTTCTCAGGTAAAATATGGTAACAACTTCTTCGATCTTCTCATGCCGTGTTCCTATGTTACGATCTTTGTTCTCCACCTTATCTTAAGAGAATTTTGGTATTTTATAGGAGAATTCAGATGAAAAGTCGCAGATATTTAACCGGTGAGTGATGTCACAATTTTGCATTGGTATTTTTTTCACTTAAAAGAGGCAATGTTCGTTTTCTTTTCATTGCAGCGCCGCCAAAAGCTTCTATCAATCCATCGATAGCGCTCCGGAACGAAGATGGAACAAACGAACGCTTCCCCTTGTCAGCGATCTGGTGAGCATAATCAATTAAGCCTTCCACTTCTCCCCAATTTCTTTCCCCTGCCTAACTTCATTATTCACTAGTTCTCAGCATATAGTAGCGTCAAGATATTTTGTTTTGAAACGGTTTCGGGATCTATAGGTTATCAAAGCAATAATATTAAAATGTAATAAAGACATTTCGATCAATAGAATTGCTCTAAGAATGCTGTTGTTATATGAACTTCCGCATATTTGTCATAGCAACTTAAGAAACCAAGTCATTCCTTTGATACAAAAGTTAAAGTACATTTCTAGAATTGACTAATTTAAAAATCTGTGGTTTTACTGCAGGGATATGTGACATTACTCAAACAGTGGTCCTTTTGAAAGCGGGAAAAACGGATGCTCAGATTAAAAATATCCGCAGCTGTTAATTAGACGCTGTTTATGATCAAGGGGCCTAAAAATAAACGAATTAACTTCCCCGCTTATTTGCAAATTGTTGTTATTTCCAAACATGTTAGAAGGAAACTATTTCAAATAATTCATTATTCAATCAACAAGAACCAAAAGATGTTTAATACGGAAGAGGAAGGAAATACAGGCCGTGACATGAGTGCTTTTGGTAAAAGTGAAATTAATGAGGCTTCACTATTTTGACCTTGAAAAGCACAGATTTATATAAAAAATCAAAAGCCTTAATATGTTAGATTCTAAAAAGCAGGGAGTAAGTCGTTGAATCGCCAATGCTAAAAACAACGAGGCACTGGTATAATAAATGTAGTGAATGAGAAAATCAATAATCAATTTAAGCCGCAATCGAATAGACCGTATATGGTGTAGGCTGAAAACGATAAAATCGATAGATAACCTTACGGTTTCGTCAACAGCGGTAGACCGTAATGTTGCTACTAGTGTTTATTCCTCATTTTAATACATTTGCTTATTGTTTTTTTTTCTTTAGGTACTTCAAGTAAGCCAACACTCTGTGTTAATGGATTTAAGGTAACTTTCCGTGTGAATTTGAAGTAAATATGTGTTCTTTTCTCTACAAAGACAATGTCAGTACAGAAGAGAACAGCCAGTGTATTGCCTGCGAGCATCGGTCAAAGTACAACTCTCAGTGGAGCAGATTTAGTAAGTGCCCTATTGTAATTAAATTATTTTGTGCTACGGTTTTTAAAAATTCCTTTTAGTCCGCCGTTTCACATTATCTCCTAATGGCAGTATTTCGATAAGTGTCAATAATCATGGGAGAATGGATTTCAGGGCAACTATCAGGGAACGGAATTACCTTAGTTCTGTTATTTTCACAGTCTAGGTTAAGCCCTTGAAATAACGCTTTGCCTTTAATGGTTTGAGTTCCACTGAGTTAAGTGTATATTAGTAGACCGAATTTGACATCCGTGAGATTGGATTTATTCTGAAATATTTGAAGCTGGAAGTAAAAGCAGAATATTGCATTGATATAAAGATTTTTACTGAAGTGGTGTGAGATTATGTGGATTATAATTATTTTGTTCCATGCAGTAGTAATCGAATAGATTTGATTGCATAATTATCAGTTATTATTACTTAGTCTTTAGCTAGACTGCCTAAAAAGCGTAAGAACCTGCTAGATAGCACTCAATTTCTGAAGTTCGTAAGCAGCTGTGCAGATTGGCGATTAATTAATTACTTAATAATATACAATTTGAAAGCAAACGCAAATGAAATAAATTTCTAGTCAATTTTCTTTAGATCCGTCCCTTCTCTCGCCAATTATCTCTCATTGAATTTAACCTTTCTCATTTCGGTCTCTTTGCTGCCAATTTAGATTATAATGATAATATCGAGCTGGTAAGCTAAAATGAATACTTTTTTGTGTAAGTTACAGGTAAAAGCTGCCAGTTTGAGGCCAAGTACATTAGATGTCACGATTTACATTAGTTTTGAATAGTTTCACCTTTTGCCAGCCTGATTGACGTATTGGGAAATAGAACAAAGATTTGCAACTGGCATTAGTCTAATTTATTAGACTGTCTCATTGTCCTAATCATTGAAGATCGGGATTTTTATATAAGTTCAGCTAACCCTCATCAGTTTCTTATTATAAAATGATTCTTTTTCTAAGCTTGTCAGCTACTGTCCAAATTAATGATTAGCTAATTCCCCTATAGCCAACTTGCTTTACTTTCAGAAAGCGTTGGTCAAGGTTTTTCTCATCAGTTTTCATCATATCATGATAATAAGATTAGCTTGTCTTTTAAAACGCATGAAATTTGTTTGGATAGACTAATTTAGGAGAAATTGAACAAAATCGAAATTCCAGTAAATTGGGCAATTAGTTAGTAACAAATTTTGGCAATAAAAGCAGTCATTTTGGATTCAATTGGGCCTTTATTCATGCTAATTGCTTCCGGTACAAGTGAATCCCACTTTGTCAAACAGTCAGGCACTTTTAAAGCACCTAATTCTACTAGTTTCAACATGGAAGTCACAAATCTAAAAAATCTTGAAGCAAAGCTCTGATATATCTGGTAGAAATATCTTACTGGTCGATTCGCTATGAAAAAACGTTACCCTTACGTAATCTTATTAGGAATATTTAGAATGAGAGTGAGGTCTTTTCGCATCCACTCAATCCTAGCAAAAAGTTTCTGCCCTTAAGATGTCCATTTAATCTAAAAGATGGAAATTTATTCGAGAGAGATCGGAGATCATATTGATGAGTTTTTTCGTGGCATATTTTAGGATAGAAGGCGCAATTGAAACCACATTGTCCTCAAGTCTACATCGTTTTGAATATGCGAGAGGATGGAGCTCTTTTGGACTTAATTAGAAAGACTTACGTGGAAGGTTTTATTTTATGAAGGAATTATTAACATTTATTTTATTTTAATTAGAACGTATGTGATTGATTAGAGATTTGACGATCGGCATACCTCGATGGTTACAAAGCATTTTAGTTGAGATGTGCCAAGATTCTCAGTTGGTATCATTATAAACATCTTGCATTTCGCTTTCTTCTAGACGGTAGAAGTGATAATAATAAGGAAAATGTCCCTTATTGCTTTACTTATTTGACATGAAGCAGACATTGTAATGATGGAGGAGTTCATAACGCCGAGGGTTGTATGAATTCCCTGAAAAATGGTTTAAAAGTCTCTTGAACTCCTGTTTTTTTAAAGTTGATCTCGAAATGCCAGGTTTTAAAGATGGAAAGAATTGGAGTACTTGATGTTCACTTTGCAATAAGATTACAGAAACCGAATGAATGAAATAAGCCTTTTCATTGTCCAACAGGTATTTCCACACATGTCTACATGTTGCATCAATTATGCCCTTGAGAAATGTATCTGCCATATCTCCTAAAGTTCTCATTTCGTAATTACTTTGTTTAGAAACTTCTCGTGTATAGAAAGACACTGAATGCACTGGCTTATCCCATATCCGGTAATACGCCACACAATTTCGTGGTATTCAACGCTACCAGTCCCACTTACTGCTACGAGTGTGAAGGTCTCCTGTGGGGAGTTGCAAGACAGGGTCTTCGTTGTTCAGAATGTGGCGTCAAATGTCACGAGAAGTGCAAACGTCTTCTCAATGCCGATTGCCTTCAACGTAAGTGCATTAATTGGGCAATTTCCATTTCATTATTAGATTAGCTTCATTGAGGTGTCAACTTTGGTTAGGAATACAGCTTAGAGCCCTTGGTTTAATCACTTATAAGTCGATACAATCACTTGAAAGCTTCCATTATTTCTCAAAGCAAAAGTCAGTGTCTGTTAACTGGTTTGAAGATGCATTAATAACCGCAAAATTCCAATGTGACTAATCAGTATTATCATTACTTTTGCTATTCATATTCTTATATGTCTAGGTAAAAGTACGGATTTGGCAAAATTTAATTATCAGGATAATATGGTACTTAAGATGATAAGTCAGCAATGCCTGCATTTTATTGGACGTTATGCTCGAAATTGATAGGTAATTGCCTTCAAAATTCCTGACCACTGGTGGTCCATTCCATCTTCTTGCTTGTAAAAGCTGGAAATAACTAGCGCGACTCCCATTAGTCAAGCAGTGGAGCAAATTTAAAACGTCTTTTTCTCAATCAAAATTAACAAAATTCCTTCCAAATAGACAGAATTACCACAAGATACCAATTCAGTGTTATTTAGAAGTATCCATTAAAGATTACATCTTAAAGTTGAATCGTTCTTTGGTGTGCCAATTTCGTCATCTGAGGGATGGAGTTACAAAACTGATACCTCAATGAATGAGAGAAGTCAACTATATTATTTCCCATGGGAAATTGCAAATGGGTGTCGAATTCGTGTTCGTTGTTAGCAACCCCTGCTTTTAGCTGTGCATCTCATTTTCTTCTTCCTCAGGCAATACAAATCCGATTGGAACATAAACAGCGGGGGAGAAGTCTTATGAGGCTACTTTTAATTTTGCAAATATTTGCTATAATTTGCTGTACACGTGATTTTAAAGGCGATTGTACTGAATGTGCTCTTTCGTTAAAGTTAATTTGCGTTCATGTATAATGTGTTATCTCATAGATGATGTTTAATTAACTCTAAAATAAAAGAAAGCTTATATTTGTAATTAACAGCTTTAATGGGTAATATTGAGGTGTCTATTTTATTTTAACCCCTTCAGAACGATTTGTTACCAACAGCCGAGTTATAAAACTAGTGAAAATCAAATCACTCCCTCTCTTAGATCTCTTTTGTTTATCGTTTGGCTGATAAGCGAAATTTGTGTCTACATGCCTGAAATTCCTTCAATGATTAACGCACCTTGAGACTAGTCCTATTTTCTTATCGAAAATCACAATTCTCACCCTCTTTTTAAAAGTTTAATTCATTATTCCTAAATCAATGAAATAAATGACACTTGCGCATTGGGAGAAAACTCCCTCTTAATTCTACTCTCTGCATGTGTGCTTTGCTTCGTTACGTTAAGGTGAAATTTTACCTATGTTGCGATTTGGTTACTCTACGCAATCCCCCGCCAGTAGGTTGTTCAGGAATTTATCCTGTCTACACTCTTTTATGGATATTAGTTTCGATTAATTAACTAATTGTAAATTGATTTGGCAGATTTATTTATTATTGCAAAAATTGCACATGCAGATCAATTTTGATAATTTTAACCTCGCTAATGTCAAAGTTCTCAGCTTCGATCCAATCGCCAGCAATTATTAGCAACTCTATTGGCCAATTATAAATATTTCTAATAAATTAAAGTTTGAAAATTATTTAAGCAACGATTAATACGTCTCTCTACTAAAGTTTTAAATCGCTTTAACATAAGTTGCTGTGGAGCTAAATTCATTGACAGAAATTTTGTTTCTTCTCAGACTCCTCAATTATGTGTTTGTTAATGGGATTTTTTCTTCTGTCACTTCATTTCTCGCGTTTCTTTGACCTAGAGCCCACATAAAAAAATTTGTTCCAATGTCAAAATAATTAATTTTGAAGCACTTGCTTCTAAAGCGAGAAAACGTAACGACTCGCCCGATTGGAATATTTCATATCAAGGCCTTCAGTTGGTTTAAATTGAATGACAAAAATCGTTTGTTTTTCCTATAGAAAAGAAATTTTTCGTTTGTATTGTAAAATAAAGCAAAAGGAAATCTGAATGAAATTCAATTTAAAATCCATTTATACACTGAAAAAAGCATTAATAAGCGCTCGTAAATTTATGAGCTATTAATAAAGGCATTTGGTGGAAACAATGTTTTGGAGTAGACATCTGATAAGCAAAACTGGTCAGACAACTGCATAACAGGGAATACATGAGATTGGCAGTGAAATGAACATATTGAGTTATAAACGGGTTTATATACTGGTTGTTAATGCACTTTCCTTAGTAAATTGTGGTTGGTAAGTTCGATTGGAGGGCACCTCGATGAAATTTGTAGTACAAGGTGCTCGAGATTAACTAGACAGTCTCATTATGGGGGAAGTACTTTCAAAAGCTTAAGAATCGGTTCAAAAAAGTTAAAAGTGCCAATTAGCTTGCCTACGATCTCAATCTGCACCCCCCTTCCACCTCGGAGCCAATAACTGGTGCTTTTTATACATTGTCCCAGAAGATCCTCTGAAATTGCCTTCATTGTTCTTCTGTAGTACTGGCACACCTAGTAGTGTATTTACAATAGCCCAAGAGGAGGGGAGTTTGAAAGCCAAACACACACTGAGATGCGTGCATTCGTAATAACTTGGCGGGCAATCATTTGTGACTTTAGCTTAAGCTGTGACAAAGGAGCTGTTTCCTAGCGCAGCCATACATACGACATTTTGTTGACTTCTACCATTCACGATCGAGGCTTTAACTCCTACAGTAGTCAGGAATTCCAATTCAATCTAGGCCCCTAGTGAAAACAAAATGCACAAGGCGGCATCACATTACATCAGTCATGGAGTAGGGGAAGGAGATACATCCAAAAATCATGACAGAATTTGGGCCTGAACCCCCAGAAAAGTTCATTTTTGACCATATGCAAACCAAATACCTCTCGGCAAAAGTATATTTATTTATTTATACTAAATAGCAGGAGTTTCGATAGTTATCATTAGCCCTTTAGTTGACTTCAGGTTTTACAGAGAGAAAGGAAGATCGAAGTGACAGAAATTCGAGGGGGGGGGGGGAAGAAGAGTGCTTTAAAGATGTAAAAGAGACAGACACAAAGGTAGAAAAAAAGATGAGGTGAGTAATGTGGAAGTAGTCGAATATGTGAAATAGTGAGGTGATGGTAGTTTGAAGTCAGAACTCAACTGCTAGTTAATGGACCTTTTTGCCGAATGAGTATACGTTGCCCAGGGTGCACCACATGGAGGCAAGTCTATCGTACACCCCAACTTGGCAAAAATTATTTTACTAGGAAAAGAACAGGAAGTTTACCTCTTTGGCACTTTTATGAGTGCTAGTTTCTTATTACATTGATGAAACATTCAATTTGCATTGGCAATAAAGTTGAAATTTACTTAGCAAGGTTGTGAAACATGTAAACGAAGGAAGGGTTGAACTCGTGAAGGACGTTTAGTGTTCGAAAATATTCCCAAAATATTTATAAAAGCAATCAAGTGGTATTCCTTGAAATTTTTTACAATTGCCTATTAGAAGGTGTTTTATAAAAATCGGATTCTACTTCATTCCCTTTAATTTTTTATAATTTTAATACTTGTTTTATTTGCCATTTGAAATAAATAAATAAATAATTTTTTTATTGGCTTTTTTGATGCCTATCCCACTATCATAGCTAAAGAAATGCGGTTGGTTATTGTCTATTGGAATGCTTTTCAATCTCTTGCTAGAATTGTTCAGATGTTAATGAACTCAGTTTTGTTTGCCATAACATGGAATCTTCTACGACAAGAGTCTTCCTAAAGACAACAGAGTTTTCCGAAATGAACGATCAAGATTTGAATGCTATCAAAAGGAATATATCAAATGGTAGAGAAGTGAAATTCAGTATCTATTTTGGAGTGTGAAAATGATTGTTAATACAAAGTGTTAGGAAGCAGGGTTGCTTACGATTGACTCAATTACTCAGAGTGTTGAGTTGACGACGAGTATCTCGTTAGTCCGTTGCTCTTACTTTTGTAAACTAAAGGGTTCTAATGTTTTCAAAGTGAGATTTCGTAGGTTTTAAGATTATGTTTTCAATATTGATAAGTAATATTCCCTGATCAAGAATTTCTGAGCATGATTACTTGGAGAAAATCTTACTAATTTTAACGAGATAGTCGAATTCACTATGGCAATACATCAGCTTAATTCAAAGTTCGACGGTCGTATTTTAGTGCCTTTATTGAAATTTAAGTCGGCAAAAGTGGAATGATTTATTGCATGAATTAGTCGCAACAAAATTTAGAAATTATTCACTATTTTTCACAAAATTTTCGCTTAAATTTGCATGCTTTAAATTTGTGGTCTATGTCCTATTTGTTGTCACTTATCACGCAAATATGAATATAAAAAAATATCTCAATGGCGTTTCATTGTCATAAAATTTTCATATTAGTATATTTTCCCAAACTGATTTTGAATAATAATTAGTTGGTTCGCCTACAACGGTTCTTGCGGTGTATTTCAAATTTTTTGATCATTTTTAATGTTATTTCTCATTTTAGTTTTTGTGAAATCTAAAATTGAACTTAAATTTGCGTTTAGAAACATACTTTAATTTTATTAATGTTCAATATCTCATTAATATGAGGTGATCATAATTTTCACATTGCTAATACATTTTTTATGATGAGTTAATTAAATTGGCTAACTTGCGCTAAACTTAATAGCGCACCTCTCCTGGGATTAAGATAGAATAATTTTCAGTTCAGACAGAAAAACAATAGAAGGATGTTTAATTCTAATCGTAAAAATATGGATGAAACCAGTAAACTTAATGCTTTATCGATTATAATATCAAAAAGTGTACATTTTGGTTACTATTTTTACTTTAAGTGCATTTTGTTTACTATTATACATAGTGTACAAACCATTACGTAATAGATGGTTTTATGCTTTGGGATAAAATAAGATAAGCACGTTAATCTGCTTATAAGTGTTAAGGTATATTGATAATCCTATTTTATATTTAAGATCTGATTCCGTAATAACTTTATCTCAAATTCAAATTTCCAAACCAAGACAGTTTTACTAACGCAAGCATCCAAATTAGTTTCTGATAATGAGGTTTGATAATTAAACGTCAACTGTTATAGACTTTGAAGAATTACTCCGTATTTTCCAAAATTTTCTTTAATAAAATTATATCCACGGAAATTATTTTGTTATTCATCCAAGAATTGGCAGTAATGGCTTTATCTCTCTTCGACTCAAAACCCTACCTGTCATGTCCTCAAAATCTTTACGATTTACTTTTCCCTATTATAATCCCATTTTCCCTAAAAGTAAATTTTCATTCCTACCTTCATTGTGAGGACTTTCAGATCTTGTGACTTCGTTCATCCATATGTGACCTGATTATCTCAGTTGATAGAGAAAAAGCTAACTTTGAATAGGGTCTAAAGTCGAATTTATTGGTTTAGTCAACTTTGCTTAGGAGGAAACAATCCGATGATACATTCAATAGCATAATCTCTGTTGCCTTCTCTCCTCAATTTCACTTAAACCTTAATCTATAAAGTGCTTAAAAGCTGCTGCCAATCCTTCTAGTTCATAAATGCGAAAATATATGGAAAAAATAGAGTCAATAATTGTTCTATTTAGACAAAGAGGCTAATAGCTTTAAGCAAGAAAGTTAATCAAAGAAATGAGATGACTTTTTGAAATTTATCAAGTTGTAATATGATTTCGTAGCTTAAAGTTTTTAAAGACCTAAATTCTGCCAATTTGATAGGAATCGATTGGTTATCGATTTTCATATTAAAAGCTTCTAATTTATTTAGTATTTTAAGTTCTTTTTCTTTCTGTTCCACCTGTGTATATTTGTTCTCTAGATATTTGCAAAATTTAATTCAATCAGACATGATGATTGAGGTGGAGGTAGGGGGGGGGGCAAATTTTCAGTTTGTCAGTCAGTCTATCAAAACAACAGATAATTTGATTTGCTTTTAAATTCAAAACGCAAGGAATCATCGAGTTTCTGTCCTGGCATGCATTAAGCTGTTTAGGGTAGCCTCTTATAATAAATCAATAAAGCGGATAAGCGACTTAGAGACCACCAATGATAACTGTTTGGCCCGAAGCCCTGAACCTTGTTTATCGACGAGCTGCCAATATCATACTGACAGTTATCAGGAAGGAGATAAAAATTTTCTTCCCCATTTCCTCATTTGGAACAGCACTCAGGCGTTCTTTCCTCGTAAGAAACTTTTATCTTCGGATATATTTGGCTACAATTTTCTTTGAGGTTTGAGATGTGCAGACCGGTGAATAACACTTTTAGGCACATCTTATTTATTAAGATCCTCAGTGCGCATAAAATGGCAAAAGAAATACTTCACTTTTTAGGAAGTAGAACGGTATGTGGACTGATCATACATTCACTAAATGGGAATATCTACTATAGTAATTTCGAAATGATGTAGACATTCAAAGATATTTCCCAAATTGTATGGATGGCTAACTGTGTAATGGAGGGATAAAATGTGTGCGCATTGAAAATGTTCCAGAGTGTATGGAAGTCTGCGCAATTCCAAGTAAGTCTAGAAGCATGGATCAAGTAGTTTTACTATTTTGTATTTAATGAATCAATGGGGGGGGGGTGTTATTTGCAAATAGGCATAATTGTTTTTTTTAAAGTTTAGTTTCAGGTTGCTTAACCACCTCGAAATTCTTTTCAGTGCAATGCTCTTTCCTGTATCAATTAAAACTTAACGAGTTAGACTGATTTGCCGTTAAATAAATAACGGTTTGACTACACCGAGGAGAATTTTCTCTCCTCTCAATAATAAATTAAATTAAAAAAATACGGAAAGGCTTTTCGTGCGCACTCTGAGAGAACTAGCGAAACTGCTTAATATATCTTTGTTAATTACAAAATGCGCTTTCCTCATTCTGTATGCATGCATTTCTTGCGATCCTCATGCATGAAGATGAAGAGGGGCTTTCCACTATTTGCGCATTTGAAAAGAGGTGAACTAACAAGGCGACTTTCTAATTATGCATTTGCGCCAAGTTAGATACATCTATCCTACTTTATTTTTTGTAGGAAATTAAGCATACATATTTCAAAAGACCAATTTTTACATGGTTGTTTTAATTTAAACAGATGAGCTTTAGTTTACTTATTGCTATTTTAAGTATGAAGATGTTGAGGCATTCCCACCTGTGAGTGCTTTTTTGGAGTTAATTTCCACTCAATTCTTAAAGTCGAATGATTGGAAATAAAATCTGACTACTTGAGTTGAGGCTAATTATTGATCATTAATTTTTCACTTCCTTGGCTTTACTATAATGCAATCAACTTGCCTATTTCAAAGTTTTCCACGTTCTGTTCACTTGAATTCTTTTTTTCTCTAGCTTATTTACATTATTGTAGCTGAATTAAAGATTTACTCTCCCACTCAAAACTTAGCGTTTCAATTAGTATGCAGACTACTGCTTTCTTCTAGACTTTTAGAAAGATGCTTTTTTTCTTAAGGAATTTCTCCCGGCATAAAAGAATGCTTCTTCAACGATGTATGCAGATATTTTGCTCAGTCGTTTCAAATCTTTATTGGTTAATGATTACCTATGGTCATAGAAGTTAAAAGCATGCCATTTATTACTCATATGTCTTATTTTTTATTTACGCCTTCTAGAGGTACTTAGCTTATACCCTAGCGTTATGGTTTTTGACAGCTTTTAACTAGAGGTGTATTGGTTATTGTAATTGCTCGTTATTCTTTACAATTTAAGTACAGAATTCGTACTGCAGAAAACTGCGCTGAATTGATATGGTCTTAGTCTCATTTATCCAAGATTGTAAATAAATGTGCTAATTGATAAAGTACCTATCACATGCGTTAAATCAAGGTTAAGCTTTTTTCAAATTTAATGTGATAATAAGATTCATGATTTCCTTGAAGTGTATAGTGTAATTTTATGAACAGATTGTCCCCGGAAATGATGAATCATTCTGTCTTTCAACGAGTTTCAACATTTTAGAGTTGTTGAATGATAGTGCTGCAATACTTATCGACTTGATTAAATTTTAAATTCTTGAATTACTGTTTTTAAGTTGTCTGTTCACTTTGCCATCAGATTCAAATCTTTCCCATATTGCTTCCGCGACCACCCACCAGCCTCTAAGTCTATATTCATCCCTTAAAATTTAAATATTTAATTCACTTTATATACTTTAATGCTTTTATACACAATAATTGGATTTGTCAAGCATTTTCTCTCTTTATTACCTGAAATTAGGTGCATAGTTTATGTTCAATGGTTGGTATATGATATATTTGGCATCAGCTGTCGATTTAAGCCTGTGAAATATACTGTGCACCAATGCAAAGTCTTAGCTTCAATGAACAAGTTCGCTTTCAATCAATTTCATTTAAAGCACAAATCGAATAATGTCGTTCAGAATTCATTTCCTTAAAGCATTTCTAAGAATGCATGGAAGTTCGTCAACTATTTATCGCTCACGGGATCACAGTAATTTCAGTTAGCTTAAAGATACTATTAGATGTGACTAAACCTTCAACCACTCGATATATTTAATTCCAATTGATGTGTTCTTTTATATATTCACATCTTCATAGTTTATTTGAAGGAAACTTTTAAGAAACGACTTAGGTTTAACATGTGGAAAGAAATTAACTTTATATCACTCTCAACAATTGCTCTTTTCTAAATATAATTCCAACGAAGCTTGTCTTGGCTTACTCTGGACACTTTTAAAGCATTTCTAATTTTACTTAGCAGTGTATTTTTAATGATATATTAACCTCGTCTAACCCGATGTTTGCACAAACACTTTTTAATTTAGTAAAAATTGTAAATAAAAAATCTACAAACAAAGATTTAAAATAGTATTTTATTCTGTTTGACTTACAGTTTACCTCTCCTTAATTTTACTGTTCTACCAAGAAACACAAAAAATGTATCTGACCACTTTTCTACTAATTTTACCTCCTTAACTTTGCGAACGCCAAAATCGTAGTCAATCGTACTCCAATCCGTATCGACTCCGTGTTTTGAAAAAATAAGCGAATTTTGTGAAAGTACAAGTGGTATGTTTTTGAAAGCGAATGCACTTCTTTGTTAATGCAAGCGTTCCCCATTCTCGATGGCATTTAATGTCTAATCCCAATTAACACCACAAATACCCTAATGGCGCAAAGCACCGGAAAACCAATTTTAACTTCAAGAACTAAGTTGGTCAAATTTCTTCCCCACAATTTTGCAGCTGTAGCTTTGGAAGCTCCACACTGCCCTCTCCAAGTTCTATTATTATGGGGGTGAATATCAAAGGGTAGTTTATTTTTAAATTTGAGGGATTGGAGAAATAAAATGCCACCAAAATAGGGTGTTATGTTACGTTTAGGGTATATGATGACCATCTTACAAGCAGCATAGTTAATACATTTTCATAAGGTGTTGGCTAAGTAGGATGTTGTTTTAATCTACGTCACCGGCCAGTTTTTAATTTGCAAAAAAATTACACGTGAAAGGTGGTATTCTAAATTAAGCGCACTTTTCGTCAGTAAAATCACCTGCCCCTGGACATGTCTAGGTAATTCCCACCCAGGAAAAGAAATTAAAGCAGACATCTTAACAAACTAAACACTTAATTTGTATTCCTATTATTGGTATTTGAGTGTTAGAACACCGTCAGAGCTATAAAGATTTTTATCTAGACCGCTTATTTTCGATAAAAAATAGGCCAAATCAGAGACCCCCTGAAGGAAATGATCATCCCAAGACAAGACACACTCAGTGGAATAGAACGCTTATAAGTAGGCACATCACAAATGTAAGCCAGGCTTATGGGAAGAGACACTGCCTGTCTACTCTAAATGCGTTAGCTGCCGATGACTTTTAGCCTAATCTAGACAATGTACCCTCGTTTGGTGCACCTAGGTGTGTGCCAACTTCCTTTATTTTTGAAACTTGTAACTTGCTTGTTTGAGTCCTTCCAGATAGATAACTGTGTAACATTTTGGGCAAGTACATCGAGTAGTCAGCGTATGAGTCTGAAATCTCAGAAGTCAAGAGAATGTTGTTTATCGATGTACATGCAGTGGTAAGGTAGACCATGATTGGATTAGGTTACTTTTAAGCCATAGAGAGTCGGTATAATGCGGTTTTTTCTATGGGACATCATGCTGTTAAATTTTTCAAAATGAATTTAAGAAAATATTTCTGCAATTTGCTTTACTCTTTTCATTAGGCTCAGCGGAGAAGTCGTCTCGACATGGCGCTGAGGATAAAGCCGCCGCAGCAATGAACTCAATGCGTTCGCTAATCCAACGACGTTTGGCCGATCGATCGGACATATTCGCAGCCATTTTCGATATCTTTAAAATTGATGGAAATGATGAGGCAGCTCGAGCAGAACGTCTAGCTGAAGTTGAGCGGTCCATTCTCTCGGGGGCATCTCAATGGTCTGCCAAATTGGCGATCACCGGTGGGTTGAATGGATGGATGATTGAATAATTAGGCATATGGATTACTTTTTCCAAAATTAGAGCCGATTTGTACTACTTCTATGAATTTGTACCGTTGCATTTGGCTCAGATCGGGATAGAAAGGTGAATGGCAGTTACCACAGCATTAGTTCAGGCAAAGATTGTCATAAAATTGATCAAGACCTCGTCCGAGCGTCGACAGTTGTCGGGATCGACTTAGGCTTGGTTGTCGAAAGGTTAAGAGCTAGGGTCTGGTAATTTATCATTCCGAGAAAATGCTTTGACTCTGGGCCTCTGAACTCTAATTGTCATCTTCCTTTTGGTCTTGAAATTAATCCGGAAAAAGATTAACAGTTTGTGTGAAGTTCTTTTTGTGGTTTGGCATCTCGAATCCTTTTATCCTCCTTTATTGCTTGCTTCTGGACCCTAAGGTGCTCATCATTGATCAAATTAGGCTTTTCGAGCCAGTTAGTGCTCTATGGATGCTGCATTAATAAATTCATATGTAATACATTACAATTTGGAAAATACAAAATGAATTTCTCAGGTCGCACCGCTCAGTAAAATCTCAGATCTTCCACCTGAGAAAGCATGATCACAAAAGATGCCCCTAAGAATGATTTTGACTGTTAAACTTTTCTAACTTGTGTTAGTGAAACAGAAATAGCAGAATGAATTAACATGGAAGAAACAATAAGTAATTCAGATGGGACTGTGGGAAAATTTTTGCCATAACATTAATGTAGAAATTGGAAACTCGGATATTCCCAATCTCCAGCCACTATCAGATTCTTTTGTTCACAGAATATGGAATGTGTTGCTTTTATCTAGAAGAAGATTAAACCTGTATGAATTGGTTTGAAAAATGTAAGAATGCTTTTACGAAGCGGCCTTGCTCGTATCTCAAATGAAGAAAATGTCAGTCTTTTGTTACGCAGGATTGGAACTACTAAATATGGAAGGCTAAAAGTCTCACCCTTCCAAACGTAGTTTCATATCTTTCAGCAAAATTATTATGGTTCTGTCTATTTCAATGGAGCCTCAAAACTCTGAAAATGAATCAAATGCCCTCCCTAACTTGGTGTGTGAGTACACATTTCGGACTCGAAAATTTTTCTACATGTTGAAAGAGGTTTTCTAGAATTTTGTCCAACTGACGTCTATTGTCGAATCCTCAGAATGCTTAAAGCACGTTGTTAATTATATTATTGGATCTCTCTGATGAATATTGGAAGTTGTATATTCGCTATGACTGCAATATGGATTTGAAGATATATATATTTATTTATTTATTTCAAATGGCAGGCATTATGATAGGTATTATTAGCCCTTTAGTTGACTTCGGGCTACACAGAGGGGAGGAGGAACATCCAACTGGTAAAAAGTCGAGAGGGGGAAGAATAATGATACACAGACGTAAAAGAGACAGACGGACACAAAGGTAGAGAAAAAGGTGAGGTGAATACTGTGGAATTATTCGAATATGAAATTCAATAGGGTCATGGTAGTTTGAAGTCCGAAGTCAACTGCCGATTTATAGACTTTTTTGCCGTATGAGTATACGTTGCCCAGGGTGCACCACGTGGAGGTAAGTCTATCGCACACCCCGGATTTGAAGATATCTACTAAAACAAATTCAAGGTAATAGCTTGTATCAGTGTGTTTCCTCTCTCCGAGAAACTTCCATGTGAATGCGAAATTTTAAATAAATCTGATTAAATATCTTCAATATTTCCACATGCATCGCTTATGCGATTAGGAATCAATGTGCTGACCGGAACCAGAATGCAGAAAGAAGATCGGTGTTTGTGTGTTTTAAGCGACGGTAAATCAGGTGATGGGACCAGTGGGTAGCTCGAAGGTGAATATGGGGCGAAATGCAACTTCACGGATGAACCCTCCCCCCCCCCCCGAGCTCCTCCCCAATATCTTGACTCAATGAATTTTAACCGAAATTAAAATGGGGCACTGCCAATTCGCAAAAGAATGGCGATTAAAGTAGCCTATTCTCACTTAATGCTTCTTAAAGCAATACCCCAAATTAGACAACTTCCGATAGTGAATATACTTAAGGGTGTATTGGAAAATTCGACAACTGGTGAGAAGAAACTGATAATGGAGTAAAAAATGAATTTAAGGAGTCAGAAAGTAGAATCTACTATTTATGTCAGTTATACATCCCTTCGATTTGTATTTCTGTCCCATTCGTATAGTTCAAGGTCACAAACAAATTGTATTAGTGCTTAATTGCACAGTTCGTGTTTTCTATGTCTGATGAACTAAATCCACTAAGTACAATAGCAACACTTAGTTAGAAGGAATATAGCCTGCAGCCTTATTTTCTGCAACTTTATTCGATAAGCATGGCTAATCATTCACATCACGGGGCACACATCAGCCATCTCCGATCTTGTGACCTCTGTCTTGGCAGAAAGGAAGGTTATCCACTGTTCCAACGGAGGAGTGATTAATCGATGCTCAATTCTCTACTGATGTCTTCTGATGCAAACTTCGTACTGACTAGTATTAATCGTTCCTGTTAGTATAACTATTTACCGAATCATCACTGATGAGAATCGCTGCATGCATTATTGACACTTTTCTTATAAAGTTATTTATTTATTTTTAGAATTAGAAAATTTTCCATAGTGAATACACCCGTCTTTCGTCTGTCGACTTTGTTCTCGTAGTTTTTCCACAAAGTTAACAAAAGGTAATATTTATGCGCCATTACAAATGGCAGGGTTTCATTCCCAAAGCATGCTAGTCGCAAACTATTTCAACTTCATTGATGAATAGTTAGATCAGTAATTGATCTTTCATTGCCAAAGCGAGAATGCTCAACTCTCAACTGTGGAAAATGATCTAAAATAGGAAAGTATCAGAATACGAAAGTTAGGAAAGGTAAATTGGAGCGTTCTGTTTCCATCATGTTTTCTCACTTTTTCATATTGGTGTTCGAAGGTCTAAACTTTCAACCCTTTTAAAACCTGGCTCTAATGCAAGCATTGTCATATTTGTAAAAGTATAATATATTTCTGTGTAAATTCAGGTTGTGTTTTCGAAAAATCGTCAACTGTTAGAGTGCTAATTGCAACTCTCTATGCGCTGCCACGGGACTGCAACACTAAATATCTGCTACAGGAGAAGGATTAAAATACTTATGAAAGACAGTTTGTTCAGAAGAATTATATTCTTGCAGAGTAGCGGACTGAATCAAGAACCGAGTATAAACGGGCGTTTGAAATTGGTTGGCTAGGTGGGAGGCAGTGTGGTACCTGTGTACCCAGTCTCATAGGTTTCGTTTACCATATTTCTTTACACTAACTGTAGTTGGATAAAGTGCCCAAAATCGGTCAGCCACTTTATTGTATTTCACTGGGTTCTCGCTATTGGTACTGACACCTCCTTCCATCTAGTTATTCGTAAGAGTATCAAAAGTTTTATGTGAGGATATCTAGCCAAACTTAGTCCTGGGTCTTGGAGTGTGTTTGCTTGGGATAAATGTCACTTTTATGGGACGTTCTCTATGGATACGTGTCAGTAGTAAGTTTTGGCCTATAATTATTTTAGCTCTACATAAATCTTATATTCAAATAAACATAATTATAGTAATTTTAAATCGCCCCACTCCAGACGTCAATTCAATTACAAGTCTTGCTATTGGCTCCAACGTGTATTATTAATTAATTTCGGGCTACAGTCAAATTAATAAATTGAAAATTATTGCACATGAGGTTATCTTACCTCGAAGTGGTTCATTAGATTGATTAAACGTGTTTCGCTAAATGAATTTTAATTTGAACAGGAAAATTGTCCTCTAAATGGAGTTGCATGTGTTTTCTTTGTATTTTTATCTTTTATCTCGCTAATTGAGAATGGGCTCAATACAAGCACGCCTCTCTCCCCCCCCCCTCCTCTTTTGCTTTTAATTATAGTGTCTCTTATTTAGGTCACTCATGGGCTGGCTTTATAGCCTCTATTAGAGTTCCATTGGGAGCAGATTCAAGCAACATTTTTGAGGGGAGTAGGAGGGGGGGAGGTGGAGAGTTCCGTCCCATTTTCTCAATCAGTTAATTTATTTGTCAATAAAAGGAAATAATTGCTATAATAGGGGCAGTTGACATATTACTTAAAGTGCTACCTCGTTGGGCAATCTACAGCTCACACACACCAAATTGGTAAACCTACTTCACTGAGTTAAAAGGTTATGTGTAAAGTAGTCAAGTGCTTGCCTTACGTTAGTGAGTCTCATGCGTAACTTTCCATAGATTAAATTTGGTCATTTCGTTTCGAGATTTTACATTTATGCAAACATGAAGTTTAAATTCTCGAATAACGCCTTTCATTTTGATTGATTACGAAATAAAACAAGTGTTAAATAGTAATTTAGTAGCATAGATTTATATTGACATCAGTGGGGTTTCAAAGAGTTCTTTAGGAGGTGGGTGTTGGTGGTGAGCAAAACAACCGAAGGACCTAAGCGAATGGAAATTAGTTCGATTAATGCCAGTTTGACCTCTCTATGCTATAAAGGTCAACTATAAGAGTACTTCAAACTGCAGTCAATGCGAAGTCACAACGGTATAGTTTGGTGTCTGAAGAGGCTTGATGCTTCCCTTAATAAAGAAAAGTATATTCAATTTGCTGTCACTAAGTTTCGTTTTCCTCATGGAGACAGGTAACAGGTGTTCTAATTTTAAATTATCTGTTCCTTCACATTCCATCACCTATGTGAGATTGGGCTTATAAATTAAACTAATTATATTAGGCGTTTGAACAAAAGATTACAAAAGGGAACTGCTTCACGTAATATCCAATTGGACACTGAAGTTAAAAGAAGCCATTTATTTGGCCCACCTTCTGCAGAAAAGCCACAATGTAAGCGACTTTATTCCAGTTTGAAAATTACAGAAGTCTCTAATTTTTCCTCCAACAATTCTGATTTAAAAATAAAGCACAGTTACACTGTCGGCTTTTTTACTCACCTTCTCTCTTTAAGCAGAATTAATTGTCAAATTAGTATTTTTTCCTTAAAATGCGCTCAAGGTCACTTCAGAGATTAGATGACAAGTTGCATCTCAATTCCACGTAAAATGTTTACAATGTACTCCGCAGAATTTTGCTGTCTGACTTTAATTTTTTGGGTTTATAATCGGGGCTTACAAAAAACTCCAAGCGTGGCCTCTTGCAGTTTTGTTTTAGCTTCTATCTACTTTAATTACTATTATTATTATTATCATAAAATGCTAATTAAATTTAATTCAACGGATCGACTATATGAGGTACGCAAGTCTATTTAACCACCATTTTAAAGGTCATAAAGAAGCATATTGCTGTCTAACAAGCACCGAAAATTCAAACAGTCTTCCCAAGCGGAGAGGGGAGAACCTTTAACTCCAGAAAATTCAACAAAAGCTGCTCTTATTGTCGAGGCCATAAGGAAATAGTACTTAAAACAATTTAACTCAAAGTCTGGGGGGATCATAAATATGTAGGTCAATGAGTTTCGAATCAATTTGCAATTGAATGCATCGCCATATGTCTAATTGGGCTCTACCAAAATATGCTAGAAAAGTGAAGATCGGTATTTGTAGCTAACATCGTAACTCTCCTTATTTCCTCAGGAGAAAAGTGGGCTGTAACAATGATTTTAACATAAAAGCAAGTTATTGGGTAGCATCGGTGGGTGATGGTGGTGGTGGTGGTGGTGGTGGGGGGGGGGGGGGGGGGGGGGGGGGGGGGTGGGGGAGAGTCCTCCCTAACTACGCATGGGCATAGACTAAATATAGGTACCAGGGCGACTGCTTATCTGGAGTCATGCCCTAAAGCACTTCTGACAATCAATACGCTAAAAAATATCTTTGTTCAAATGTGCGATGCGAGAGGACACTGAAAAATAAATTTCGACTTCAACGGCTTCAACTTAATGAGGACTTATCATCCTGATTAAAACGCAGATGCAGAAAGATTTTACCTCTAAAAGTGCTGTCATTAGGACTGGATAAATGTAGACTACGCCGTTTATATAACCAGAGCAGCCTGAAGGTTGCTGGGGAAGCCAGCCCATTATATTAATAAATATCTTGAATTTCAGATATTAATACGAAGTGTTTCTTTGTGGAACATCAGTCATGTCTAATCGGGTGATGATTGGCCGCTAGTTTTAAGATTAAATGGCTCTTTATTGCTCCAAGGTCTAGGTTTTCATTGTCCTCTTCTATCCCAAGTATGTTTTTTATGATTTTTCCCGCTAAGCATTATTAATCCTGGGCAACTATTTTCTTACGTCGAATGCTCTTGGGCCTTAAATGATTAACATCAAACAAAGAAACCTGGTCTTTTTCACTCTGGAAGTCACGTTTAGGGAGTTAAAGCAAACAAAATTGACGTCGTCGTATTGTTACTCCTTCAAGAGTCAATGATTTACGAACTCTAATAGACTCTTAAGAGATCTCAATTACTATCTACTCGCTTCACTTATAGCCTAAATAGTTAGCTAGATCAATGAAAATTTCCGTAAATCGTTTATCCTGTTTTTTTTTCATTTTGTAGTTAAATCTGCACAGGGCCTAATCGGGAAGGATAAGAGCGGTCGAAGTGATCCCTACGTAACCGTACAGGTTGGAAAGGTTCGACGACGTACCAAAACTGTCCCTCAGGAACTTAATCCCACGTGGGATGAAAAGTTTTACTTGTGCGTTCACTCTTTTTTTCTTTCACTAACTTTGAGTAAAAAATCTATTGAATAGGCTTTTAAAACACTCATAAATATATTGAACAAAATATTTTCAATATCAATCTTTGTACAGAGGTAGCATCTTAGTATTTTTCTGGTGATAACCTTGAATTATAGCATTTCTAGAATTAGCCAAATTTGACTAGTGAGGCTAGCCATTCCACTTACTAAATACGAACCAATGGGTTCCCCATCAATGACCTCTGACATAGTTGGCGAGTTATTAATTAGACTGTCAAGATGTGATTCTGCCATTTTATTGCTTAAATACTCGCACCAGGGTCAACCAAAATCCTATCAACTTGTTTTAAAATGCAAAAAAAAACAATTTTATGGCCATACTGTCAAAGACGAGATGTTGAAATCACGGATCAAGTATTACTAAAATATCCGCAGCCGCTTAACATAGAACCCAATCTATGACTGCATGGGCTCATTGTTTCAACTCAGGAAAGTCCTTAGATGAATTGGATTATGCAATAATACTATCTAATCGAATTACTTCTGCACTCGTTAAGTAAATCTTTAATAGGCCAACTGTGAGTAGGTAGTACAAGGCACTCCTGTTTTCAATAAATGAACCGCGTAAACATTTAAATAGACCACAGCTAAATTCGAAGTCGCATATCAAGGCAAATGCTTGAATTCCCCCCTACCCCATCCCCCCCCCCGCAATTAGTTTTGTGACATTCCTCCTGGTTAATTTTTGCAAAGTATGGCAAATGGAGATAATCTCTTTGCAAGTTACTAATAATCATCTCCTTCATTTTCGATATTGTAGCGAATGTCACAATGCCTCAGATCGAATTAAGGTCAGAATATGGTACGTTTACTGTTCATTGTTGTATTCCAACTTTAGCCTGTAACCAATATTTTATTTCGTCTTTCCTACCTTTGATTATAATTTCACCAAAGAAAAAGGGGGTTTATAATTAGAGGATGATATTTGTGCTTGGTTCCAAATTTGAATATTCCATTTTCTATTTCTCTTTTAGGGATGAAGACAACGATCTGAAGTCTAAAATTCGTCAGAAATTTACCCGAGAATCGGATGACTTCCTCGGTCAGGCAATCATTGAAGTACGAACCCTAGGTGGAGAGATGGATTTGTGGTACAACCTCGGTAAATACATATTTATATATAGATGATACTTATTTGAGCCGTGTGTGTATAATAATTAACTTTCAAATTTCCTGATAATGCTTCCTAGAAAAGCGAACTGACAAATCCGCTGTTTCCGGGGCCATTCGTCTGAATATTTCCATTGAAATTAAAGGTGAAGAGAACTCCGCTCCATACCACATTCAATACACATGTCTCCACGAAGTGAGTATTAAGTTCTTCTCTTATTTACCCTTTTGGGTCATTTCAAAGGCATATATGTGATATGTTCATGCATTATTACAGGTACTTACGACTAAGGTTATCACATTGCTATTGAAATAGAATTATGCTTTAATTCTTTGAAAAAATGCGTCTGACCTTCAACTAGCGCATCCACCTCTAGTGAATTCGTCTGTTTTTCCAGATTGTTCAGTTAATAATTTCACTGCATTTTGTTTGTGTAGCATACTGCATGACAGTATTTTGAGCTCTCTTGAATTCACTTTCTATTGTAGTGTATATTTAATTACCTGTGTGAAAAAAATCCTCCTGTTTATTTGCCCACCCAAACACCCAAAAGGAAATCAGTGCCGGTGAGTATAGTTATTACACTTCAGGGTCTTCATTAAGTCGAATGCTGTTGAGGTTAAATCATGTTGGTCTCATTCCTTACAGGAAGAACTTTGGCGGGTCTTTTTCGATTCCCTCGGTCAGGAAATCTCTGACGAATTCGCCATGCGATACGGCATCGAGAGCATCTTTCAGGCCATGACGTAAGTTCTATTTGAGCATTTCATGCATCCGCGTGCTGTAGATGTGCCTTCTTCCCTCATTTATTGAAGAGTGATTCACAGATGTAAAAGAGACAGACACAAAGGTAGAAAAAGGGTGAAGGATGTAAAAGAGACAGACACAAAGGTAGAAAAAGGGTGAGTACTGTGAAAGTGGTGGAATATGGCATGTAATGGGGTGATGGTAGTTTGAAGTGAGAAGTCAACTGCCA